CTGGACCCCCCCCCAAAAAAAAAAAAAAAAAGAAAAGGTGTATTTGGCTCACAGCCCAGAAGGTAGAGAGGTCCAAGACTGGGCAGCTCCATCTCCAGATACTTTTTGTTGATGGGTCTCTCTGCAGAGTCCTGCTGTGTTATCAAGCACCACATGGCAAGAAGCACCTCAGTTCTAGTCTCTCATTTTCCTATGAAACCACAGTCCTATTGGACAAGGACTCCACCCTTATGCATTCAGCCCCAATTACTTCTCAAGATCCCACCTCCAAATACATTACATGATTAAACTTCCACCTCTCAATTACAACAGGGAACATTCAAACCATAGTAACTTGTCTTCAGCAAAGTCTAAGCTCCTTGAGGTTGGGAGTCTTTCCAATGCTTGACATAGTAGACACTCAAATATTTGTGGAAGGAATAGATGTTTGTAATTCTCTTCATTCATAGCTTCCTTTCCTATCAAATCATAGTCTCTGGGATGGATCTAGTAAACACATACACAAACCATCAGTGTGATTGAATGCATTCATTCTTCCAGAACTCCTGGCTCCTAACAGCAGAGAGAATCTAATAGTGGCTCTAATAGGGGAGAGAATCTCAAACTAAGGAAATGGCCCTAACTATACTGAGAAGCAGCAGAAGGGATGAAATTGGAACTGAGAAGTATAGGCTGGTGAATCATATTATGTGGACGACTCTTGCATTGTCCTCCAGTAATGCTAAGCAGTACTGTGAATGAAAGCCCCTTTTACCTTGAGATTCAATTCTATCCCTAGCACTACAAATAGTTCCATAGTTTAGTAAGAAGTTAACCACCAGAGGGCAGTAAATTCATAAGCAGTAAAGAACAATGAGCAACAAACAGACAGTAAGTTATACATTCACATAAAGTGACTTTAAAAATTCTTCTCATAGAATTCCATTACACACACACACACACACACACACACACACACACACACACACACACACATGCCACATTTTCTTGATCCATTCATCTACTGAGGAGCATCTGGGTTGGTTCCATATCTTAGCTATGGTAAATAATGCTGTGATAAACATAGTTGTGCTGGTAGCTTTCGTATGGCTTTGTTTGTGATCATTTGGGTAAATGCCCAAAAGTGGGATTGCTGGGTCACAGGGGAGCTCTCTATGGAGTCTTTTGAGGGAAACTCCATACTGCTTTCCAAAGTGGTTCAACAAGTTTACACACCAACCAACAATGCAGTAGGGTTCCCTTCTGGCCACATCCCCTCCACCAACTGTTTCAGAAAGAATAACATTGCCCCATTTGTTAGGAAATGGAAAGACTTGGAAAAATTACATTAAGTGAAGTAAGCCAGGCCCAAAGAAACCCATGGTTTCCCTTATTTGCAATTACTAGTACATGTGTAGGACAAGTAGAAAAGGCCAAAAGCTATGTACATATGACCATATAAGATGATGTTAAGCTAAATGAACCCCAAGATAGGGACACAAATATCTTTTTTCTTTCTTGCTATTGTTTCTAACGTATTTATAATGTACCATGTGATTTTTTTTGTTGCTTTGTATGTTCCTCCTCTATGGTATAACCCCTGTTTTCATTGTATTTGATGTTGGTGCCCTGCATCTTGTATATACACTTCTCTAATTCAGGGAGGGGAAGGGAAAAAAACAAAATGCTTAAATAAGGATACAGGTCGACCCATTGTAACAATGAGGTGTACAAAACACTATGTTGAAAATGTTGAACTTTACAACTTTGGTGGGGGGGGGGGTAGTTGTGGAGGTGGGAGGGAAGGGATGGGAGGGAGGAGGCAACAATGCTCAATAGGAAATGTACTCATTACCTTGCTCATGTAACTGTAACCCCTCTGTACAGCATTTTTACAATAAAAAAGTACCAAAAATTCTTATTTCAGGTTGGGCACTAGTGGCTCATGCCTGTAATCCTAGCTACTCAGGAGGCTGAGATCTGAGGATCACAGTTTGAAGCCAGCCCAGGAAAATATGTGAGACTCTTCTCTCCAACTAACCATCAGAAAAACTGGAAGGAAAGCTTTGACTCAAAGTGGTAGAGCACTAGCCTTGAGCAAAAGAACTCAGGAATAGCTCCCAGGTCCAGAGTTCAAGTCCCATGGCTGAAAAAAAAATTATTTCAACCAAATGCCTCAAATTTTATTGCCTGTCTATAATCCATGTTCTAGGAGTCCAACAATTAACGACTTTGAACAGCTCACATTCCAAACACATAACTCTACTAAAGAAAGAATGACAGTCTATTCACATTGTGTGGACTCCCTTTTCATTCAGTAGGTCTATATTAAGCACTTAACTTACTGTGTGCCAGACACTGTCTACGAGCTCAGAATGCATCGTTTACAAAGCAAATATCCTGCACTTTGTGGAGTTGATATTCTGGTGAGAAGACATAGCATAAATCTGGAAATAAATTGTGCAGTATAATAGGAGGTTAGAGCTGTGGAAGAAAGATATAGATAGGGGAAATGGAGAGCAAAAAGACAGATTAGGAAAGGGGTACAGTTTTAAGAAAGATGGTGAGAGCAGGCTAAGGGGAGGGGGCATTTGAACAAGGAGATGGAGACAGGATGTATGGCTTTATGAAAAGTGTACCAGAAGAGGGATGGGAGAGACTCATTAGTAAATGAGGTCAAGGTAAGAGGAGGCAGATCATGAAAACCTTTGAAGGCAGCTGTGAGGACTTCGGTTTTTACAACGAGTAACATGGAAAAGGGAAAGTTTTGTAGGATCTTGTGCAGAGATGACACTTGCAAAGGGACACATTGGCTGAGCTTTCAGAATAGCTTCAAAGAGGTTTATCTCTAAGAAGCTTCTACTGTTAACAGCTCACCAAAAAGCAGGGAAGGGCAGCTGAAAGTAATATTGCTGTCGCCATTCAGCAAATAGCAGCCTGCTTGAATGCAGGCATTGTGCTAAGTATTTTACCCCCACATTCATTTAATCCTTCCCGAATACCTCCATGTCATCACTGTTGGCTCGATGGCAAAGGAGGTGATAAATGTTAGTGACTAGTTCTATGTTCAAATGAAGTAAATGGACTTAGGAGAGCCACGCTTTGAACAATTCTGCTTTCTAACATGAAGAAACACTAAGCAACCCCAGAACTGATGATGGAGGGGAGGGTTAGGAGGGAAATAAAGGTTTGACTTCAGCCACAGCTTCTGTCTAGCCTCTATAACACTACTCACACTGTAACTGTACTGGTTTATCTACCATTGATTTGCGTTGGAGTCAGTATAGTCTATTAACATTTTGATTATTAAAGAGTCAGCACCCATTATTGAACCTTCTTTTCTCTAAGGTATTTTTTTTTCTCTTTTTGGTGTTGATACTAGGGCTTGAACGCAGGGCTTGGGTGCTGTCTTTTAGCTTTTTTGCTCAAGGCTGGTGATCTACCACTTGAGCCACACCTCCACTTCTGGCTTTTTGGTGGTTAATTGTAGATAAAGAGTCTCCCGGACTTTCCTGCCTGGGCTGGTTTCAAACTGTGTTCCTCGGATCTCAGTCTCTTGAGTAGTTAGGATTATAGGCATGAGCCACAGGCTCCTGGCTCTGAAAAATCCCTTTTAAACTATGGTGGTTTAAAAATCTACACTCCTGTGGTGTGACACCTCCAGGCCCAAGGGGTGAGACAGACCAGAAATGGAAGGGGTTAATACACTTTAAGAGCATCCAATAGGAATAATTCGGGACTTGTAATGGGCACTTAAAAAAACCACAAACTTCATTTTTATCCTTTTGTATTTTACCTGAGAGGCTAGATAGGCAAGGAAAATGATCTGACCCTATGTATAAGGCAGAATCTCATAACATGCAACAACCGACGAAGAAAACCAACTCCTTAGGTACAATAAAAACGTCCAGGACACCAGACTTTGCAGGCAGTCAGTGGTCTGCAGGAACAGTAGGACTTAACAACGGTTTCCTTCTAACTTTTTGCGCAGCTCCTGGGGGCTTGAACTCAGCGCCCGGGCGCTGTCCCTAGGCCATTCTGCTCGGGTCATGGTTCCACCCCTGGCTTTTCGGTGGTTAACTGGAGATGAGAGTCTCACGGACCTTCCCTGCCTGGCTTCGAGCTGTTGACCCTCAGCTCTCGGCCTCCCGGGTAGCTGGGATTATAGGGGTGCGCCACAGGTGGCTGGCTCCTTCTAATTCTTGTCCCTATTTCCAACTTGGCCTCAGCCAGGGAAAGCCCAAACCTGCTCTCCACAACCAACCAATCACCAAGGCGCCCGCCCCTGCCCCGCGCTGCCTCCGCCCCGGCCGCGTCGGGGTTCAGGCAGAGCCGCGAGGGACCGGGGTCTGAGCCAACAGCTTGGTCGGTTACGCCTCCCCGGTCAAGTACTTCCGGGACACGCTGTCCCGGTAAAAAGAAGCTTCCCGGAATCAAGGGTGCGTCGGAAGGCAGATCGCAGACGGATCTCCCGGGCGGAAAGGGTGGAAAATCCTTTCCCAGAGCCGCGGACCCGCCTGGCTCTTTCTGAAAGTCGGGGCTTTGGCTTCCGGGTGCTGGCCTTTGCGCATGCGTCCGCTCCGCTGCGCGTGCGCGTTTTGTGGCCTTCGGTCACGCGGCGCTGATGTCATGTCTAGTGGCCCGGGAAGCGGCGGCGGCGCCGGCGGCGGCGGCGCACGAGCGCTCCTGGGCTCCCAGCAAAGCCTCCCAGCAAAGCCTCCCAGCCCGCCGTGGGTCTGAACGCCCGCCTGGTTTCCACTCCGACCTCTCAGTCTCCACCTTGGGTGTGTTTTCCCCTGCTGGAGGTGAAGCTCCTCACGGGAGCGCGGGGCCTGGCGTCTGGCGCCGGGCGCTCGCGGATCATCCCACCGGGCCGCGGAGGATGACCCGGGGGAAGGCCGGGGTTGCCGCCGTCACCAGCGGCCTTCCTCCGGGGGACGCCGTGGCCACGTAATCGCAGACCCCGGGGCCCTTCGAATGCAAGACGGGCCCCCAGGTCCGTCTCGTCTTGTAAGGTTCTCCCGGAGAGCTTAGAGCGCTGTGAAAGCAAAGGTCTCAAGACACGAACTCGTCTTTCCAGGGGTGGAGTTGATCCCTTGAATGAAACCTTTTCAGCAAGCAAGAAGCCCTCCCCCGAACAGCTTGGGCATTTTTAAGCCCTGAGGCTTTACTCTTTCTTTTGCGTGGACACTTGCTTTTTTTTTTTTTAAGGATTTACATCTTTGGTGTTTTTGAAACACCAACCTAAACGATCTTTTTCTTGATTGACCGTCAATACAAATGAATGCCGTTTTGAAAGAACCCCCGATCACAAAGCTACTTAAAATTCCCACGCCAGACTTTAAACCGTTTTTCTGCTTTGACTGTGGCGTCTCTTGTACAGCCTCTCACATTCCTAACTCTTTTTGTTACAATTTACTGTTGTTGCACGTCTGGTATTTTGGTAATTATACTTGATAGAATTTTTCTACAGTGAAAGGAAAATATAGGACAAACCTGTGGGTATTCACTTTTATATAACTTATTTTCCTTCACACACACACACACACACACACACACACACAAAATGCCCATTTAAGAAAGAATAGCTAAGTAAAAGAAAGGGGAAAAATCACCTAGAAGCCTACGTAAAGATAATCACCACTAACATTTTGGAATATAGTCTTTATATACTTGCTATGTAGTTCACCCTTGCCTGGAACTCACCATCCTTCTGCTTCAGCTTCCTGAGCACTGGGAATACCAGGCACGACTTAAATTTTAAGTGAATAATATTTTACAAAAAAAACAAATTCATAGTTTATACTGTTTGAAAACCCCTTTTCGCAACACATCTTGCCTGGTTTCTCATCTCAGTGTTTATACATTTATAATGGCCATAGAATATTCGGTCATGCTAGGAGCTCCCCTAAGTAAAGTAGGAACCCTACTTCATATACTTTGGGCCATTTAAGCAGCTCCAGGGGACTATTGGCTTATATCTTGGATTTGGCCAAGGGGCAATAGGTGAGATGAATTGTGTAAATGGAAAGATTTTGTGTAAATCAAAAAGTAAATTATATCTGTGTCCATCTTTTCAAGGTGGAGAAAACCATTGGAATGTTTTCTGATTGTTCATTCTGTGTTTCTAGGTTCACTTCTTTTTCTATTCCTTCATCTCTTTCCCTTTCTCCCCTCCAAGAATGAATCATGACTGAGGACTCTCAGAGAAACTTTCGTTCAGTATATTATGAGAAAGTGGGGTTTCGTGGAGTTGAAGAAAAGAAATCATTGGAAATTCTCTTGAAAGATGATCGTCTGGGTGAGTTATATATGTTAAGCTTACTAGTTCCCAGTCATTCTACTATTCTGAAGTACATATTAGGAGGCATTCAGGGGTAATTTTTAAGAATCTTATTGTATTGTAAAGATGCTGTACAGAGGGGTTACAGTTACATGAGTAAGGCAATGAGTACATTTCTTGTTGAGCATTGTTACCAGGGGTGGTTTTTAACTTGCTGTATCTTTTTTTTTTTTTTTTAGTGATATGATGTATTTTGAGAAAAGTTCCAAATTTTGTATTTCCTTTAGATACGTTATCATAGCTTCTAGTAAGCTTTTTCAATAATGCCCATCATGTTTTTTTTTTATGGAAATACTAAAACTGAACCATGGCTAAAAATAGTTGTGGTTTTTTTTTTTTTTTATAGAGTGCTCCCCCTGCCCCATTCCCTGCCCCTTCTTTTGTCTTCCCATACCTCTTTGGTGCTAGAAGATTGCAGTCCAGTGTTCTACCACTGAGCTACATACCCAGTTCATATAGTGCGCTTTTAAAGTTTCAAAAATATTTCACATCTGATGTTACTGTACATTCCATGTTTTAAATATGTCTAGCCTTATTCTTCCTTAATAAGCATAGGTCTGGAGGTCCAGGATGATTTAGTATTATTTATTGGGATTTGAAAGTTGACTATACCACTTACTAGCTATGTTAATTGGGTGAAGTAACTTGACTACTTTGAGATTCACTGGTCTTGTAATGTGGATTAAATGAGATAAATTCTATAATTAGTCTCTGCTGCTAATGTAGAGAATGCAGTAAGTTAAATGTACCTCTTATGCTCTAAAATGCCAATTATTTTAAATAGCTTAATGGTGGAAGACTTAGGCTAGAAATCAGACGTATCTTTGCTGTATTTGCAGACTGCATGGTAGACTTGCCCTAAAAATGTCTGATGTGTACTTTCACTTTTAACTTGAAATGTGCTTCTCCACACTGTAATCAGCCTGAAAAGCTTATAACTACTTGTTTGTTTTTCTCTTCTTCTACTAGATATTGAGAAGCTTTGTACTTTTAGCCAGAGGTTCCCTCTCCCATCTATGTACCGTGCATTGGTTTGGAAGGTGCTTCTAGGTATGAGACCCAGGGGTTGGGAAATTTACCTTCAAAAGTATTAGATAATGGGATCATTTGTTATCTTACGGTTAGAAAAGCAGGATTTGGCTAGGCCTTTTTCTGAGTATTGGGCCTTCCTCTGGAGACACAATTACTGCTCTCTGTAAAAGCCTTTAGGATTGCTTCAGCAGAAATATATTAGATATTACTCCAGGAGTGTCAATTTATTTGTGATGGAAAAGAAGCTAACATATCCTCCTAGGATAAAGTGTGGACTGGAGCAAGGAGAAATAGTCTAGCCCGATAAGAGAGAACCACTGTGGGCCGCATTTTTTACATCTGTACAGTTAACAGTCAGGAGCTAAATCACATCTAAGTTTTAGCTTTAAGTTTGTTAGATTCTTCAATTCTCAGTGGCAGAGGTATTACTTCCTACAGTGTACTACCAGAGCCAAAGAGGAATCCGTTTTCTTTCCCTAGAGGTGTGAGTGAATGAATTATGATGATGAGTGGCTGAAGGAGAAGGAAAACTGATCTGCCTCTTCGCTTGGGACAAAGACACCGCCCAAGCAGTTGGCAGTATCCTTTTGTAGCCCAGGATGTTTTTCTCTGTCACTGCTGAGCCTCCCAGAACATAGAGTTATCCATCATCAGCCATTACTTTACCATTCTTTAGCCCCATAGGTCACTTTTCCTTGTGAGGGAAGTAAAGGCACTGGAAAGTTCAATCTGTCAGAGCACATACAACTCTTTCTAGCACAAATTTTGATTGCTCTGGGACCTGTATATACCTGGTGACTTTTTAGATAACTATCAGAAAGAACAGTTTAGGATCACTTTTTGAAAACAGTTTACCATGAGAGGCATTGTGCTGCCTGTGGATGGAGTTTTGGCTACAGCTGTGTAGTCTGTATCAACCCAGATGTGGAGGATGCTTTAAGTCTTCCTTTGGTTTCCCTAAAAGCCTGGCCTAGAGCCCTACAGCTATGGCAAGAGTAAATGTGTGTCAGCAAAAGAAAATTCAAATAAATTGTTAACCACAGAGTTTTGAATCATCTAACTTTTCTTCCAGAATGTTCTGGAGGATACTGGATCTGTGCTGCTTTGTACAAGAAATGAGCCATAGTCAAATGTGCTAGCTGACACTAAGCATGTACTGGGTTACTCTTCTTAGTGCTTTATGTATATTGATTTGTTTATTAATTAAGCAACTGTCTAAGATTAGGTATTAGTCACTTTTTTTTTTCTTTAGATGAAGAAGTTAAGGCATAAGATATAGAGAAAATTGCTGAAGATTTCCCAGGCCAGTTAAATATAAAGCCAGTAATCAAACCTCAGAAGGCTGAAACTGAGTCTTTGCTTTTGTCCAGTATTGTTACAGTTAATGAGGCTGTGATAATTAAGTCATTTTTTTTCTGTTGTAAAACTGAGAGCCTACAAAATATGTTGTCACCATTCTTCTAATCTATTTGAGTGTGGTACCATTTTCTGATGAACTCCTAGGGCTCAGAGCAGAGAACACTTGGTGAAATTCTCATCTATTCTACTTCTTGCCCCTGATAAATGAAGAACCAGATACCCAGAGACCCTGATATTAGCAGTTCTAAGGCTGGAACCCAACGTTACTGAAGATCCTGCCATGATCTTTTCACTAAGCCATTTATTTAAAAAAAAAAGATTCTTGTGCCAAAGCCTAATACTGTGCAGACATCATCATGTTTAAATGAAGTAATGAACATAAAATGTCATAGGAATGTAGTGTACGATTGGATACCTCATCAATGAAGTAGAGGACTTGTGTGACTCTGATGATAGGATACTTTGTGATTGTGTTTTAACTGTTGAAGAATAAAAGGACTCAGCCAGCTGTCAGTGGTTCTGAGACACACATGGAGAGAGGTCTCTAGGAGTGAGGAGTGGCCCCATGCTGAGAGCTATAAATCGAGTTAAACCATTATAGTTGATGTGGTCTTGAAATTATATGGCAGACTTATTCAGAGGCTTTTAATTTCTCTAATAACAATGATGTATCATCATTCAAAAATCAAAAGTATTTAACATAAGATTATAGTGAGAATTTAAAATTTAAAAATGCTATTTGTGTAAATTCTAATTGTGATAAGATGCAGGATTGAGGTTAGTGCTTCATTATTTTGCCCTTTTTTTGTTCTGGGTTTCTGCATAGGGATCCTGCCTCCACACCACGAGTCTCATGCCCAGGTGATGATGTATCGCAAGGATCAGTACTCTGATATCCTTCACGCTCTCAAAGTCACTCGCTTCATCAGTGATACCACGCCTCAAGTTGAAGTGTATCTTCGAATGTATCAGCTGGAGTCTGGGAAGCTGCCTCGAAGTCCGTCTTTTCTGCGGGTAAGTGATCACTCTTGCTTGATGCTTAGCTCAACTCTTCATCATCCCATGTTGTCAGCCTTTGATTGCATTCTGTCTTTGTTTAGTGGTTTCCCATTGTCAGTACAATGAAAGTATCACATCTTTAACTGGCATCTGTGGCCCTGCACATTCTGATCCAACCCACTTTAAAATTAAAAAAAAATATATTTCATTGTGAAAAATACACATGCATTGCTTAATTATACGAATATATTGTTTTATTTGCAGACATGTATTCTTATTCAAACTAAGATAACTATGATGTCACTAGTTTTATGGTGACACCATCATATAGTAGGTCTCCTGTTGACTAGAACATTGTTACAACTTCAGAAACATTACAAGAATATTGTCAGTGATTCCTGTATACCGGTTACCCAGATGCCAATGAACATTTCATGACATCTGTTTTGTCTTTCCTGTACATGTACACATATTCCTTCTTATAAGTCATTTCAGAGTAAGATGCAGACATGATTCTGTTAACTGAGAGTCCTTTAGTGTGTCTGTCTTCAAGACCACCTCTGGAGGTATTCATAGTAGTTATCAAAACTAAGAAGTTAACATTAGTAAGAATTGTCCTCTAATTCATACTATCAAGTCTGACCAGCCGTATCAGAAATATTCTTGGTCTTGGGTTATGGATGGCATTGAGTTGCCATTGCTTTAGTTGCCTTTGAGTTGGGTCAGTCCTTTTGTGTTTTCGTGCTCTTGACATTTTGGAAGTGTGTCAATCAGTTGTTTTTTGGTCGAAATCTCACTTCAGCTTTGGCTACTGCTTCCTCCTGGCTGCATCATGCTTCTGCGTTATTGGCAAGGGTACCATAGGAACATTAGTCTCATTACTGTGGATGGTAGCTTTGAACACTGCCTGCTGAGTATCTGATTATTCTTTTTCTCATTGGAATTAATAATTTTGAAGGAAGTATTTTGAGATTTGTAAATATACAACCACTAATAATTCTTGCCTAGAACAATGTTACTGCTCTACCAAATGATGGTTTTCTAATCCCATTAATCCTGAATTTTAGTTGGTTTTTACTGATGTCACTGTAAATGTATAGTACTTTTTGCATCACTGGCTTGTAATTTTGTACTGCCATTATTGCTCTTGATGTCCAGAATGTCCCAAGTTTGAACACTGGGTGTCCCATCAAACATCTGTGTCTTTTTGAAGGGTTACCATTAATTTGAGTGATTCCAACTTTCTAACACAGCAAAATGTTCCAGGCTTGTCTTGGACTTTCTGGGCTGTGGTCCTGCTGCAGATAGCTCTTTCTTATTGAAGTAGAGTGTGGTTTTTAGAAACCAAGAACTGGGCACTAGATCTACTCTGTGTTCCCTAGCTGCCATTATTTCTGGGCCCTCTCAGCAGACAATGATAGGAAATGTATGTATGTATGTACACATAGTACCATACAATTCACACACGTATATGTGCATGTGCATATGTATGCATATACATATGTATTTGAGCTACAGTCCTAACCCCCATGTATTGTATATTATTTGCCGGTGTATTAATCCTTAGTCCACACTGATAGGTCCAGTTACAATTCTATTAATTCATTCTAACTCCACCCTTTCCACACTTGCAACTCTCTTTTAACAGGTGCAGGTGTGAAGACTCCTATTATGCTCAGTATATTTATTTATCTGCTTTTTCCCTGTGTGTGCCAGTACTGCCAGCCACTTGTGGCTCTGGCCTGCAGGCCTTGTGGGCTTCTGTGTCTCAACCTTTAGGATTCTGGTAGTCTGGCTGTTTTAACACTGTCTTCAGGCCTGACCTCTCCTCAGTCTCAACCTCTTCCTCTGCTTGAGCCACCTCACAACCTCAGCCCCCCACACTACTTCTTAGCTTCATCTGTAACAAACCCCTGACTCTAGTTACTTGGATTATTTTTTGTAAAGGAAAGAAGGAAGGAAGAGGAAGAAGACAGAAAAAGGAGTATTACAGGTTTTGAGATTTGGCTGCCTAATTATAGTCTCTGTAGACATTTTGTCTAGGCAGGGTTTGGCTGTTCAGTCCAGGGTGGCTTCAAACTCACTCTGTAGCTCCAGGCTGGCCTTAAACACTCAATCCTCCAGCCCAGCCTTCTGAAGGCTAGGATTACAGACCTGTAGGCATGTACCACCTACATGGCTTTCTAGACATTTTAATATTTTTCTTATTTATTTACATAAAACAGAATGAGTTATTTGAACAGGGGTTTGCTTGTGAGCTCTGCTCTCTTACTTATTTTCATTGCAGATTGGGCTTTGAGCCAGGTGCAGTGGTACATGTTTTTAATCCCACCCCTCTGGAGGCCCAGGCAAGAGGATCACAAGTTCCAGGCCAGCCTGGACTACATAGTGAGACCTTGCCTCATAATGGGGAACGGAGGGCTGATGTATTTGTTTTTGAATTGATGATGTGACACTCTTGAACAAATTGTAGAACTAGTCTTGGTCATTTGCTTTTATTAAACTTATGAAGAGTAAAAAGATCCCTGAAATAACTGGATGTCTCACACTCTCCCTTAAGGTTCATTTATCATCAGAACAGTGAAAATGACAGTACTACCTGAGTCCTTAAAATTACATATTAAAATGTATTAGATAATCTGCTAGCTCAGGAAATCTAAATGAGAGGCCACAGCCCCACCTCATCTCTGTTCAGCTGGTCTGCACTCCAGGATCCGTGCCTAATGTGGGCCCAGTACCCATCTGAGGTGGGTTTGGAACCAGTTACTGACCCTACTTATTTTTTTTAATCTATTAGTAAGTTTGTGTGTGAGACAGTGCTCAGCAGGGAGTGTGGTCAGCTGAAGGACATTGGTCCTCTGCTCTAATCCTCTCCCTTGGACAGCCATCAGAAACAGCATGTGCATGCCACCTTGGGGGCAAGGGACTAACATCAAGTGACCATGTGGGGTTCAAGCAAGAAGACTTTTCTTTCTTTTCTGTCCTCTACCATATTAATAACAAATTGAAATTCATTTCTTTAATCTTAACTCTGGTATGCTTGAGTTTTTATGGAATTTTAACAATTTGAAAGAAGGCCTAAACATGAAATAGTTTCTACTTTTTATTGAAATTAGAATTTTGACTTAACTTGGGACTTTTTCAGGGAAATAGACATTTCTCAGTTTTAACTGTAAAATCTTTCTTCAGCTATGACATTCTTGATGAAAATATAAGGTGTTTTTTAAAAAATATATTTGAAAACAAAATAACTTCCACATATAAGGATCTAGTTCTCATAAGATTTCTCCTGAAATTTACTTGAAGGTTTACTATGTTCTGAGTATTGACCCATGGCTTGAGAAATGTTATTCCTTTGATTCTTAAAATTCTGATTCTAGGGACAGTTTTAACTTTTCAGGCATGTACAAATGCTTTGAAGTAAAGCAAGTACTGTATTAATCCTTCTAGAATCCTTAAATATTGGTAAATTATAGACAAATTATATAGACAAATTACCTCCAAGTATGGTTTGTGTGGGAAGGGTTTTTTTTTTTTTTGTCAGTTATGGGGCTTGAACTCTGGGCTTGGGCGCTGTCCCTCAGCTCTTCAGCTCAAGGCTACCGCTTGAGCCACAGTGCTACTTCCAGTTTTCTAGTGATTTATTGGAGATAAGAGTCTCACAGCCTTTCCTGCCTGGGCTGGCTTTGAACCATGATCCTCAGATCTCAGCCTCCTGAGTAGCTAGGATTACAGGCCTGAGCCACTGGCACTCCGCTGGTTTATGTTGTTCATTACACTTGTGTGGAAGAAATTCCAATATAGCTCTGAGAGTATTTTGAGTGGAGAGTTATTGCCCTGCTTACAATTTATGTTGACTTCATGATTTTATTTTGAAGAAAACAAAAGCTGTTTCCATTTCTTGGAGTGATGGGTTTATTGTTACCTGAAAACTAGTTATTCCCAAAAAGCACTGGTTCCGAGAGGCTTCCAAAGCTGTTTGCCCTCCCTTTCCCCTTGCTCTTCTCTTTTTCCATACACTCTGCTTTCTGAAACCAGTTTGATTTCTTAAAGTGGCTTCTTCAGAATAGAGAGGGTAAGGTTTCTTTTTTATTAAAGAAATATATCTTGGTCTTGTCACCTGTCTCTCTCCTAAGATTTACTATTAATCTTTCAGCAGCCTGAAGATGAAGTATTTCTTGCCATTGCTAAAGCCATGGAAGAGATGGTGGAAGATAATGTTGACTGTTACTGGATCACCCGATGCTTTGTGAACCAGTTAAATAACAAATACCGGGATTCATTACCCCATCTGGTAAATTTTTTTTTTCCTGGTGAGGGAGTTGGTACAAGATGTGATATTGGGGTCTTCAGAGAGTACTCTTATTTCCTGGTGTACCTGCAGTTATGAGTGGACCATCTATTGGAGAACTCATCAAATATTTTCTATAAAAGTCCAGATAGTTGCAGTGTCATAGGCCAGAGGATTATTATTGCAGCCTCTTAGTTTTCTGTTGGAACACAAAAGCAGCCACAGACTGCTGGGTCAATCTACTGTGGATGCCCTGCCCCTGCCCTACTGCAGGCCAGTTTGCCAACTGCCGCTTATCCCAGTCCAGAATCTACCAACCTTTTATTTACAATGGTTCCTTATGTATTAGCTAGGATTTAGGTGTACCCATAAGTAATGGGAGGCTCACATAACGGTAGCTTGTTTCCACTCATGTAACCAGCAGGGAGCTATGATATTCTTAGGCACCATCTTTCCTCTCCCGCTCACAAGGTATAGTTTGGGCCCATGGCTATGACTTCCATGGAAGGAGATAAAAGTAAAGGAAAATAAAGACAAGCCTTTAAAGTTTGTCATTCTTGAATTGGCTTTCCTTCTGTTTGAATACACATTCTCACTGATGAATTCTATCCAAATTTAAGGTGAAAACCTAAATTCAAAATGCATTGAATATATTTGATCTGCAGAATATCAGTTTAGCAGCAGGGGGCGCTGTAGAGTTGGGTTGATCCTTGCGGTAATACAGCTACTAGGTGAGTGTTTCATACCTCCTATTGATATCCCATGAAAAGCCAGAATTCCAAGTTCAGTTTCTATGGAATGTCTATTGCTTTCATACCCATTGTAAAGTTGAAAACCTTAGGTCACACCATCAGAATCCTGAGACAATCAATCCATATGAGTGGCCACAACTGTCATTTGGTTCCCCATCTTCAGCAGAGGCTGGGAAACAGGGTTTTTAAAACCTTGGTAGTCTCTTGTTAAAATAGCAGTTCTGCTAATAAAGGAGGAAGGCTGTCTGGATGTGGCAGACAGCCAGTTCTGTGTGCCAATTTCTGGCCTAGGAATTTTAAAAAACCAAGAGGTACTTGCTTCATGCATGAGCTAGATTTCCTTGGCCTGTTCCTTCTTCCCTCTGCTCTCATTTTCTCCCTTAGTTATCTCATTCTTCCATGAAATTTTATAAAATCATTTTTATGTGAATCTGTCTTCATAAAACATTGTTTTTTTTTTAACTTGAAAATCCTATTGAAGTGGTAGTAGTGGTGGAAGGAGATGGAAGAGAGGTAGTGGTAAAGGTGGAGGGTCCCCAAAGGTCACTGCTTTAAGTGTGTCCAGTTCTTACTAAGCAGGGTGGTGGGCAGGACACTTTAGTTTATTGAGCTCTTACAAGAGCAGTACTTAGTATTTCAACTAAAGCATAAATTTGACCCACTTTATTGATTTCAATAAAAATAAGTTATGGAATTGGAACATTAGTAAATATGTTAATCGCCTAATGAAATCAGGCCTCAGTTATACCAAATTTAATCAACTTTTTAGTTTAATATTAGAGCACTTTTTGTGATTAATGCCATATTTTAAGAAGTCATTCTTGGACTAGGCATGGTGGTGTTGTCTATAATCTCAGCTATGTGGAAGTCAGAGGTAGTAGGATTATTGTCTAAGGCAAAAATGAGTCTCTTAACTGAACTAAAGCAAAAAGATCAAGGAATATGACTCAGATAGTAGAGTACCTGCAGCAAGCACAAGACCTTTAGTTCAAACTCCCATTATTTTGGGGGAACATAACAAATGGATACATTCTCAAAAAAATTATACTAACCAGATGAGTCTACTATATTTTTCTAGATCTGTGCCACCTGGTCTACACAGTGAACATGGCTTCAAAAGTACTGTTGTAGATGCTTGCATGCATATGTATATACAAAATGAGTGTGTTAAGCCAGGCACTGGTGGCTCACGCCTGTAATCCTAAGTACTCAGGAGGCTGAGATCTGAGGAACATGGTTTGAAAGCCAGCTCTGGCAGAAAAGTCCCTGTGAGACTCTTATCTCCAATTAACCACTCAAAAACCAGAAGTGGTGCTGTGGCTCAAAGTGGTACAGCACTAGTACTTTTGAGCAAAAAAGCTCAGAGACAGCTCCGAGGCTCTGAGTTCAAGCCCTACAAGTGACAAAAAAAGAAGTTTTAAAAACACACAAATGGTATCATACAGTGCACACATGCCCTACCATTCTCTTGTTTTGCTTTTAACTTAATGCTTGGAGAACTTTCCATCTTAGCACAGAAAAATCAGGTTTGTTTTTTTTTGTTTTTAAAGATAACTTGGCAAAGCTTTATTAAGTAAGTCAGAAAGGCAAGCAGACAAACAGACAAGTAGAAAGACTGAAGCCTATTTTAGCCCAGTGTGGGTGCTTTCAAGGGGAGAGACATACCAAATCAGCAGTTTTATTCCTGACTTCCTATCAGTTCACCCAAGAGATTAATCAGTCGCAGCCACTTCTCCCCCCAGGCCAGTGGAATCTGAATCTCTAGGGGTGGGGTCCTGGAATCATCAGGAAATTCTGATGGGTAGTTGGGGGCTGAGAGCCACTCAAGTAGAAGCCCCCCCCCTTTTTTTTCCTAATTTACTCATTGTATTCCCTGTTATAAATTTGTCATAATTAAGTATAATCGACTCGAACCAGTTGTGAACGTGCCATTGCACAAGGAGCTCTGGTAGCCAAGCACTTTGAGCTTGACCCAGAATAGCACCATCATTCTGCAGAGTTTCCTCCTTATTCATGGGACCCAGTCAGGCTGACACACCCTGAAGCCAGGGATTTGATGTTATCTTTTTTGTTTGTTTTTAATTCCATGCGGGTGGCAATATCTGGACCAGTGGATATGGTGCAACTTACCAGTTTACCTCTTTGACAGAGCAGAGACAGAGGTTTAGGAAAAATAAACATTTATGTTTGTTTTGGTGACATGGGATGTGGTCATCCTCTTCCAGCAGGTCAGTATGGACTTTAGGGTCTGAGCCTCAGTATCTGTTCTTAGCCAGTGTACCCTAAATGCAGTGGCTTGGCTGGCTGTCCCAGTCTTCCAGAATTGGCTTAAGTGAGAGAGACTATCAGAACCTGACTGCTCTGTTCCCTCTGAATTCATTCTCTGTTCCAAGAAGTTTTTGTGTCCATCTGTGCTGGGGACTGAGCCCAGTGTTTGTACATCCTCTCTCTAGCCTCCTTGGCACTGTACATCGTGCTTAGGAAAGGGGAGTTAGTGTCAGTCAGTGGCTGATGCATTGCTGTGTATCACCTCCTCCATGGTCCACCTGCCTCATTCTTCGTAACTCTCCACCCTAACTCTACTTTTTCTTGCACCATTCCCTTCTCTTCTTCTCCTGCCCTATGAATGCTGTCCCCCCCCCCCCCACCTCATGTTTTTGAGACAGGGTCTTGCTGTACCTCAAATTGCAGTCCTCCTTATCTCAGGCTTCCGAATAGCTAGTATTCCAGGTGTGTGCCACCATATCCACCTCTCCCTTAAAAAAAAAATATAGCTGGGCGCTGGTGGCTCACGCTTGTAATCCTAGCTACTCAGGAGGCTGAGATCTGAGGATCGCGGTTCAAAGCCAGCCCGGGCAGGAGAGACCGTGAGACTCCTATCTCCAATAAACCACCAGAAAACCGGAAGTGGCGCTGTAGCTCAAGTGGTAGAGCGCTCGCCTTGAGCTGAAGAGCTGAGGGACAGTGCCCAGGCCCAGAGTTCAAGCCCCATGACCGACCAAAAAAAAAAAAAAAAAAAAAAAAACAAACTATATAGATAACTATCTGTTCCAGAATAGTCATTTCATGGACCTTTTGTTTTTTTTTTTTAAGCTTCCCAAGACAGTTACATTTTGCTTTGGATTTTGCCTTCGACTGTTGGATCTGATTCACGCAGTGGGCCTTGGGAGGAATACCCACTCTGCTTATCTGGGACCATACTAGAACAGCCCTGGGTCCTAGGAATCCTCTCTTGTCACTGTTGTACTGGAAATGGCTGTGTCACGAGTGACTTTGGGCGATTCTGAAACTTTCTTTTCTAGCACTTCCTTGCATGCAATATACAGTTCTTTTCTTGTGTGCTGACACTATGGCTTGAACTCAGGGTCTCACACTTGCTCTGCTTGCTTGCTTGGCTGGCATTCTACCTCTTAAGCCATGCTTTTAACCCAGCATTTTTGCTGTTAATTTGAAGATTGAATCTCACAGACTTTTCTACCCAGGCTGGCTTTGAATTTAGTCCTCTAGATCTCAGGCTCTTGAGAAGCTAAGATCACAGATATGAACCACCAATGCCAGGATGCAAATATTTTATAGGCTGTCACATCAGGTGACGTTATATCAGAGAAAATGAGTAATAATATTCTTGTTCCATCTCTAGCCTAAAGCTTTTGAACAGTACTTGAGTCTGGAAGATGGCAGGCTGCTGAGTCATCTGAGGGCGTGTTCTGCAGTGTCCAGACTTCCTTATGACCTTTGGTTCCGCAGGTGTTTTGCAGGATGTCTTCCTGAATCCAGTTTGCAAAGGCAAGTGTTTGTGCTGAAGGCCTGCAGTCAGAAAGACTGGCCTTTCCTGTAGCCATCTGTCAGAATGTCAATTTGTTTTACAGCAGCATAGTAATTTGAAGCTAAGTTCTTGAGCAGCTGCCCCAACAGGGCATGCTTCTGCTTTTCATGCTATACATTTGAAAGACTGCAGGCTCATCATGGGTGGATGCTGGAAGCAGCAGAAACAACCTGCAGGAGTATGCATGAGCTGGACCTCCTCTTCCTGCAAGTGTGCTGCATCTCATCTAGTGCAAATCTCCAGCCTCCTTAGTTTTATCGTGTGTGCGTGTGCGTGCGCGTGAGTGCGTGCGTGCGTGTGTGTGCGTGTGCGTGTGCGTGTGCGTGTGTGTGTGTGTGTGTGTGTGTGTCTGGAGATTGAACCCAGGGCCAGCCTGCCACTTGCTACACAAGTACCCTACCTCTTGAGCCACATCCTATCATTTTGTTTGTATTTTTGTTTTTGAGATCAGGTCCTACTAACTTGCCCTGGCTGGCCCAGAACGTAAGACCTTCCTGTTTCCTCCTCCAAAGTAGTTGGGATTACAGTAATGCCCTACTTTGCCTACTCTCGTTATATTTTCAAAGGAATTGAATGCAGTCAGAAATGACAGTCAAGCTGACCTTTTTCCAGTCTGTTTCACACCACGTGTTTTAAGTGTTTCTGAGTCCAGCCCATCCCTCCAGGACTTCATGATGTAGATAAGGAGTTTACTAGAGGAAAATATATACTTAGTGTACACAGTATACTGCTAACTTAAGAGTTACAGGATGGGCTGGGAAGGTGGCTCATCGGTAGAGCACTTGCCTTGCATGCTCGAGGCCCTGGGTTCGATTCCTCAGCACCACATAAGCAAAAAGAAAAAAGCTGGAAGTGGCGCTGTGGCTCAAGTGGTAGAGCTCTAGCCTTGAGCTGAAGAGCTGAGGGACAGCGCCCAGGCCCAGAGTTCAGGCCCCACGACCGGACCCCCCCCAAAAAAAAAAGAGTTACAGGAATAAACAGTAATTAGCTTAGAGTAATAGTGAATTGGTAACTAGCTCCTTAAAAATCCTTGGAGAAGTTTCAGCAATCTGTCCTCAGGGTTACAGCCAATGAAGCTGACTTGACCTCATATTTTGTGTGTGTGTGGTTTTTTTTTGGTTTTTTTGCCAATCCTGGGGCTTGAACTCAGGGCCTGGGCACTGTCCTTTTTTTTTCTTTTGCTCAAGTCTAGCACTCTACCACTTGACCCATGGCTCCACGTCTGGCTTTTTCTGTGTATGTGGCATTAAGGACTCAACTCAGGGATTTGTGCATGCTAGGTGAGCACTCTTATCACTAAGCCATGTTCCCAGCCTTTGTGTGCTATTTTTGTTGACATCCTGGGGAATGCAGCAGTTCTGATAGCCTTACAGATGACCAGCAAAAATTTGGTAGATACCAGAGCTGTCACTTTTAGTGAACTTTGTAAAGACATCAGAGCCTTTTACTGATGCTGATCGTTGTTCCAAAGTAATTCTGCTCTGAAACTTTATGAAAGAGTAGTTTGATCTTATTTTTATAGTTTCAGATGTCTAGGTAAATATACACTAAACTGTTATTTGATGATGCTGTGTTTGCTTTTTCTAGGGTTTGGGATAAAGTTGTAAGTGGATCCTGTAAGATTCTACTTTTTGTAGCTGTGGAAATTTTGCTAACCTTTAAAATAAAAGTCATGGCACTGAACAGTGCAGAGAAGATAACTAAGTTCCTGGAAAATGTAAGTGCGCTTTATTTGATTACATTCAAATTTAGAAATGAAGTCAACTTAAGCCAAATTTTCCTATTCTGCTAAATTATTTCAAGTGGTTGGATAGTCATTGTATATTTTTAGAGAATGATGTGGGGTGCGGGTTAGATTGGAACAAATTATAAAGGTATGTGGAAATGCAAAGGTGAAATCCCCATCTTTATAACAAATGTAAGCTGGAAAAAAAAAAGCTTATTTTTACTTTATGAGAAACATTTTTCCCGTGAAACATTTTGTCTGAAAGTTGGCATGTGGATTATATCTATTTAGGGGATGCAGGTCTGAACCTTGAGACCACTGTTCAAATGTGTCTTCTGTGGGACCCATGATCTTATCCCCACATGACCTCCAGCAGGCAGGGTGGGGATAGGAGGAAGCAGGAGTTGGCTGCAATCCTTCCATCAGCAAGGAATCCTGCAAAACCTTTTCATATCTGTGCTAGCTCTGGGGCAATCCCAGGTGGATTGATACTCATGTTACCACAGTGCATGTGGAAAAAGCCTGAATGAGTTACTTTTCCTTTTGTGTCTCAGCATGTCTTCTCTTAGGAACAAGCTGGGGTAAGGACACCTAGGCCCAAGTATAGACCCAAGGTCTATACTTCTTATTTTGGCTTAGCTAGCTCTCTACCACTTGCGCCATGCCTCCACCCCAGCTTTTATGCTGATTAATTGGAGATGTGGAGTCTTGGACTTTTCTGCCCTGGCTGGCTTTGAACTGAGATTCTTTAGATTTCAGCCTTCTGAGAGCTAAGATTATGGATGTGAGTTACTAGTGCTCAGCTTTTCTATATATTTTATATTAGCATCCATTTGTCGTACAGAAGGTCTCATTCTGATATGTCTACATGTATGCAATGTACTTTGATCAGACTCATCCCTCTATCCCTCCCCCCTTTTTAAAAAATTAGTATTAACATTTGATCAGTGGCCTGGAAGATAATGAGTACTAAGTGACTGTGTGTTCAGTAATGAATCATCATCATTACAATAATTAGTGGTCAGCTGTGCCAGCCCAGCTAAGTGAGGATTATCTCTATCACCCTGTAAACAGCTCTGGAAAGCGGGCTGTCCTTTCTGGTTGAGAGTTGAGCTGGGAAGCCCAGATGACCGGACTCCATGACCAGTGAGCCATGCAGGTTGTCACAAGGCCATCTGCTACTAGGCTACTCAGTATGTCCTCCTTTGTGCTATCTCTGTCTGAAAAACAGTGAAAGCTCCATGGAAGTTTTATGCCAGAGTACATGTGAGAAAATGATGAAGTTTTTGTAAACAAGTTTCACCTGGCCTGATTTCTTCTGTTCACAGATTCCCCAAGATAGCTCGGATGCTATCGTGAGCAAGGCCATCGACTTGTGGCACAAACACTGTGGGACCCCAGTTCATTCGGCCTGAACACTCCGACCACTGAGAAGTCTGCCAGCCTGCCCTAAATGTTTTGTTCTGTCATAAACGGATTGGTTTATAGTCTTGCTATGGTGCTCAGTGTGCAGTTTTTTTCAGTAAAATAATTTAATTCAAATATCTGGTGTTTCATTTTGTGAAGTCTTTTGATGACACTGTATAAACATAGGGAGTTCACTTCAGACTAGCATTATGAGGTGTTGTTAGAAAATATCCACCACCTGAAGGTAGGTATGTGTACATTTGTGAACAGTTGCAACCTCTCCCCAGTTAGCACCAAGGTGTTTTGTTAGTACCAGGATTTAAATCTTTGCTGGATTGGCTAGATTCTCTACCACTTGAGCTACTCCTCCAAGACAGCTTTATACTTTATAATTGGAGATGGAGTTTCTTAGGCTTTTCTGCCTAAGCTGGCCTCAAATTGACCTCCCGTCAGCCTCCTGGGAGCTAGGATTACGCTTTGAGCCACTAGCACTCACGTAGTACCAAGCGTTGAAAGGTGCTAAGAGGAGTAAAAAGTGACTTCCTTTCGTTGGCACCTCACATGTGGCTCTTGTGGGTGCAGAACTTGATTAAAGCTAAGTGATTTCCTTCTCAGGCTTCATTCTGCTAAATAGGCTTAAAAAGAGTTCTTACATTCTTTTTCCTTTTGTGCCAGTCCGAGTGAAATCTCTTTCAAATATGTCTCAATTTACCTATTAAAGGGGAATGCTTGTTTGATAATCTGCTGGACTCAAGCTTTCCCCTGAGTGATTAAATGTCGATAGACTGTAGGGAGCCTCTGCTACACACAAAGGAGTGGAGAAGTGGCAAGGTCAGGCTAACAGCTGATGACCCCTGGGCTTCTTGGGGCCGTAGAACAGTCACCATTCACCAGGCAGTTGCTGGCTTTGAGAATGGTGAGTGAATTGGGGTCCTTGTTTCAAACTCAGCCATCAGGCCTGCAACAGCCTGCATGGTGGTTGGATCCTCCACCCGTTCCCCTAAATGAGGAGGGAGACAACCTTGGATATACAGAGTTAGACGAGGAGTCATTGCAAATGGAATTTTTGAAACAAGCCTGTATTTCTGTATAGTAATAGATCCATAGTAATTTTTTAAAGCAAAAGTCTCAGAACATGGCTGGAAATGTGGCATAGTGGTCGAATGTTTGCCTAGAATGCATGAAGCCCTGGGTTCAATTCCCTAGTACCACATAAACAGAAAAAGACAGAACTGGCGCTGTGGCTCAAGTGGTAGAGTGCTAGCCTTGAGCAAAATAAGCTCAGGGATAGGACCTGGAACCTGAGTTCAAGCCCCAGGACTCACAACAACAAAAATCTCAGAACACAACCCATTTATAGCAACTACTACCTACATTTCAAACTTTAAAAGGTGACTTTTCTGACTAAAGTGTTTTTACTCATAGGTGAATCTAGACCTTTGAAAAAAGAAAACATGATTGTAAAAGGGACTTTGTGGGAGTGGAACCAGTGGAGAGGGGAGGGGAAAAGAGTTATGTGTGTCTATATGAAAATTTTAAAATTGCTAAAAGGGAGGAGAAGGAAGAAGGGGCTAAGAGTAATATAGATGGAGTGAATTTGATCAAAGTATATGATGTGCATGTTGTAAATATTACAATGCAGCCCCTTTTATAATTAATGCTAATATTTTTTTTCGATGATTGTCATTTAGCTAGTACCTGCCTCTGCCCCTGAGAATGTGGGTGACATAGAACACGAACACACACACACACACACATATCCCTGGCCCAATTGCCTGCTATCTAGTGATCTTGAGGGACGTGAAATCCACATAATGATAAAGTAGACACGTTACTTTTGTTTAAGAGTCACAATGTATATATGCATGCATGTATATTTGTATGTATGGCATCCATACATGTATAGATAGCCAGGGTCATGCATTCTGGACATAGACTGTGGGATGGGGATTTTTTTGGAAAGTGAGTCAATGTGATACCATCAAGGATTTTCTTGGCCAGGCATGGTGATGCTTGCCTGTAATCTCAACAATGTGAGAGGTGCTACCCATTGTCACCTCTGGACATGCTGTTGTCCTTGCCCCAAACTTCCTTCCTGTGTCTCTCATCTCTGAGACTCAATCCAAGTGTTTTTTCCTCCATGGGGTTTCTGCTTCTCTTGAGACTCAATCCTTAAGTGTTTCCTTCCATGACTGTTAGACCTGCTAGCCTGTGATCTACTTGAGGCCAGAGGCTCTGTCTTGATTCTTTCTTGCCATGTCCTGAGTGTCTGAAGACTTAATGTTAAGACTTCTCTAGTAACAAGTCACAGAGTTGTCCCTGAGCTAGCAAACTTTGCTTATGAGGGACAGTTATAAAACACCAAGGCGAGGCTAAGAACTCAAATAGGATAGGGCTGGATTGGACATGGGTCTAAATGAGACCTTGGACTCGATTATTCTCTTCTCTGTGATCTATTCAGCATGTTGGCTATCTGCTCTCTCTACAGTCTGGTTGTCCTGGTGAAACAGACTTAGCCTACATTGAAAATTCTAGAGGACAGTGCCAGCCTCTGCTGCCAGCCTCTTGACCCTAATTCCTAAGTCAATGAGGACGAGACTGAAGTCTTGCTTGGGTCTGGTGCAGCTATGGTTCTACAGCCAGTCTTCAGCCAAGGGATGGAAGGGTCATGTGGCAGATACCAGGTGCCAGGAGCCCTTGTGTGCCTGTGGCAGTTTGGGGGTGGAGAGGGGGGGGGCACTGTTAAGGGGTCACTGCTGACTGGGAAGATATCCTCAAGAGCTCTGCATTCCACCCGAGTCTGTTAACCAAATTCCTATCTAGGACCAGGAGGCTTCTGCCTCCACACTAAGTCTGAGTGGCTTTTTCTGCCCTATTCTTTCCCAATTTCTGCCAGCCACTATGCCGGTGGGCAGTCAGCCCTCAGAGGGTAGTCAGTGTCCCACTGACAGCTTTGGCAAACTGTCTTGCCCAGCCAGGTGTTTTCCTGGGCAATCACTCTACCAAGTGTTGTTTGTTCTAGAGTGTATAGAAATCGGCTTTGTCTTCCTTATGCCTCCACCTGGATCAAGTAGGAGAATTGAGGTGGGGGCAGGCACCTGCTGGTAGCAGCTGTGTCTATGTGCTCTGGGTGCTGGGGAAGGCACAGGGCTTCACATCTGTATCTCACATGTGTGTCTCCAGACCAGGCTGGGTCTGGTCAAGCCAGGTGACAGCCAGATGAACCTAAGTAAAGTCAGGGTCAGCGGCTGCTAAGGCTGACAGATTACAGACAAAATGGGAGGCATGCCTAGCCCTGAGGAATGTCCAGCTGGAGGAAGCCCTGGGAGCAATCAATTCTCAGATAAGAGAAGCAAGGTTCCAGCAAAATGGGTTAGATAAGGTCAGCTGGTGGTTAAACAGGTTCTAGAGGCTGCTTTCCTGGCTGTCAGTCTAATGGGTTTCACCAAACCCTTTAGTATTTCATCCTGAAATATTGCCTCACCCCAGCTTTCTCTGAGTCTTACAATACCTTCTTTGGAGGCTAGAGGATGGAGCTTTGCCTAGCATGCACAAAGCTCTGGACTCATTGCTAGCAAAGCACACACACCTCCCCTTCCCCCCACCCTGCCCCTCTGTGGGGCAAACCAGTTCAGAGAGGCAGTGCCGGCCTAGACCCCTTATTTGAGCACATTGTCCTCATCTATAAACCAGGATGCAGGATGTAGACTGCTTCCAGAAGAGGCAGTGTAGGGGAAGAGGCCTACTGCTGGGGCTGTAAACCCCACACTGAAACAGGGGTCTCTGACGTTACGATGCACAGTTGACCTCAGAACCTTGTCACTATAAATTTTGTCAATATATATAGGAAGGGTTGGAACTCTGCATTTCAAACAAGCCTCCTGATTATACTGTCGCTGCTGGACCTTTGGGACCATAGTGTGTCATGTGGATTTTACCTAACACAAGATTTAACCTGATTCCTAAGGAAACCAATATGATGGGTCATCGGGGGTGGGGGTGGGGGAGAGGGATGACACCGAGACATGGGCATGATGGCTCAGTGAGCCCAGCACCACAGCTTCCACTGTGTCCAGAAAAGATGGAGTTTGGGGCCCCTGCTCATGTTGATGTCCCATGAGTGTGGAGGGAGTCAGGGAGGACGAGCTTTCAGTGTGACCTTGGGAAACCTGGGTCTACAATTCCTGAACCCAGCATGGAGGCCTGGAAAGGGGCACTCCCCGCACGGCTTTGCTGCTGAGCCTTGTCATTGGCACTGAGCTCTCTCCTAATGATCAGAGCCCAGAGTAACCTATGTCCAACCATGATGGAATTATCCACAGCTTGTCTATCCAAACCTAACATTTCTCTCAATCATCCTCCAAATCCAGTGCGACCAAACCTGGCCTTTCTTTCCAATGCACACCATCACACACACGTATCTCTAGGGCGTTCCTGAAGTACAAACTCCACATCTGTACATTGAATAACAAATAGCAAGAACTGCACTTACCCTTCAGGGGCAGAGGTGCGGCCATAGACCAGGAACACATGGTGCCATTTTACCCTCTCTGTGCTTGTCTGGATGGCTCTGGTTTTTTCTTTGCTCAGGTGCTGTGTGGTCTCCAGACATCTGCATTTCCTTATGGTCACCTGGTCCTTTTAAAATTTGTTATGGTTGAAATGAGAACCTGTGCAAGTCCACAGATTGCACACCACCCATTTCATTGTGCATATTTCCTGGCCTTTTTTTTTTTAAGTCAGTCAGTGTGCCTGGGTGCTGTCCCTCAGCTCTTCAGCTCAAGGCTAGCACTTTACCACTTGAGCCACAGGGCCACTTCTGTTTTTCTGGTGGTTTATTGGAGATAAGAGTCTCATGGACTTTCCTGACTGGGCTGGCTTTGAACCGTGATCCTCAAATCTCAGCCTCCTGAGTAGCTAGGATTATAGGCATGAGCCATGATGCCCGGCCTGATTTTCTTTTTAATGGAAAAGAATAGGGGTGTGTGGTAGGGGCACAGGAGATAAAACGCAACCAGGATAAAAGGGTCTGTGTCTCTGCACACTCCAACCCCAGGTTCCCTTCTTTAGAGCCAACTTTCGTGAGTTTAAGTAAACACTGCTATTTTGTGGGCTTTTCTAGAATGAAAGATAGG